AAATTCTCTCAAATCTCAATGCAAGGCTGCTGCTGTGAGGACCATTATGTGAAGAAGAAATGGGGATTCTAGTTGGCAAAGACTACCTGTGTCTGATTATAGTGGAAACTTGGGATCAAATCTTCCCTTCACCTGGATTGTAAGAGTTATTAGTTATGTGTTTGGGGATAAGATGAGAATAGATTATCCTACTGTGTGGTCCCATGGAATCAGGAAAAAACTAAAGAGTTTGCATTACAACAACCTTGTTACCAATGTTGTGATAAGCTAGGATCTCTTACCCACAAATTGTTCCCACATCTCAACCCTCAAGCATGATTAAGGTCCCATCCACGACCTCTGCTATATTTGGCTTTTATTTGCAGCAAACCACACAATAATGTTATTAATGCATTTATTATTGATTCTTTTATTATGGTCGATGCATCTTTATCGGCTTTCATCATCTAGTGACAAAGACAAACTCACAATTAGTTATTCCCAAATGCTATTTCTATTTCTATTGGATAACTCTGTAATTAAGAGGGAGAGAGAGAGATATTCTTTGCACTCGTTTCTGACATAGGAGTGCAACTTCTGAATTGAAGTAAATTTGTGCTCTGATTCAATTTTGTAAATATTTGGTAAGAATATCTTTTTTTGCACTGAAAATGAAAGTAACACCGTATTTGGTTGCAGTGTAATTTTATTTGCATTAGTATAAATGCACGGGAGTGCAAATAAAAAAGAAAATGTAAATTTTGGTTTAATTTTGTTTTATTCTTCTTTAGGTCTTATTTTACTTCATTCTTAATGCAACCAAATAAAGTAAGATAAAACTTGAAACAAAAATAAATCAAAACTTGCAGCCAAATCATTTGCACTACCATAGTTTTGCATCAGTGAAAATGAATTTGCACTGCAACCAAATACAGCCTAAATTTATTTTTTTAATAAAGCTGGTTTAAAAAGAAGAATGCAAATACCAGTAAAGTTCAAAACCTTGCATTTGTATTGTAGATATTTATATTTACACCTCCAAACTGAGCCTAAGGCTGTATTTGTTTTTGGTGTAAATATTTATTGATGTAAATGTACACCAATGGAATTCAACACTGACCGATTTAAATGAAGGAACCGCTGTAACTTTGAAAAGTGTAATTATCAGTTGTATTTACAGCGATTATTGATGTAAATCTGTACCGCGAGTGGAGTTTACATCAATTTTCGATGTAAAACTACATTCCATCTAAACGCTAACAAATACGGACTGAGAGTGGAACTTTACACCCAACCAAACGTTTTTACATTCAAAATGGGAGAAAAGTTTGCTTTCAAAAAAGGGAACATTTGTTTGCAAAATCAGTCAATGTTAAAAAGGTGGATTTCAGTATTGAAATCCAGTTATCTATCAAACAAGTCTTGGGGTTCATTTTTAGCCAAATTCCTAAATTATGATGTGACCTAAACAAGTAACCTCTTTTAAAGGTAAATTATTTACAAGGACAAAATGAGAAAATTAATTAAATTCATTTTAGTATTTTCTAAAACAGACAGACTTACCTTGCACCTATTTGTTGTATTCTTATTCAATTCCCATAGCCATATACTATATACCTGGTAAACCTTTTTATTTATTCGTTAAAAACCTCGTTTATATATTTTAACTGTTTGGATATATACTTCTCTGCTACATGTGATATGGTAACAATGAGTGGTATTGTGCAAAAACATCAAAAGATGTGAGAGATGAAATATGAAGGGTAAATCTTTTTCACTTAGGCTGTGTTTGGTTTGATAGAAAAGAAAAATTAAAAATAAAGTTGTAAATCTCCAAAGCTGTATTGATGTAACAATTGGGATTGGGTCCTTACAGAGCGCTCTTTACACTAGCCTTACAGTCACACTCACATCCCATTGTGTATTGGGATTATTTCCCCATTAATAATAAATACAAATATAAGAAATGTTTCCGATGTATGGCCAGGACATGGGGTGAGGTCGGTGTGAGGAGCGGATCCAGACTTTGATGTAACCGGTTGATTATAGGTCTGATTTTGATTGTGAGTGTGTGTTTGTATATCCAAGCCATTGGTGGTTCAAATTAAAACATCTGAATTGTTCAACCCATTCCTAGAGGATAAAATTAATCAGTTTCGTTTCACATATCTTTGACTTTATCAATGAACCATTGGCTTGAACGGTCCAACCATTATAGGGTTGTACAATTCGTTAATTAAAACACTTGTAGCTGATAAAATCCTAGTACACGGGGACAGGACAATGGAGGCTTCTTAGATCAAGGGCTTGTTTCATGATTGCATAGTAAGGTTGGATTGATTTAATTAAGCATGCAAAGTTGATCCGGTCCATTGATTAATCTGATAAACCCCCCTCCCAGAAAAAATACTAATTAAATGAATTAAATGTAATTAATTTATTAAGTAGCGGTTGAACAATCTATACTGAGTAGTTGGTTTTATTATAGCACCAAAATTCTTAACAACCTCATAGCACACAGAGAAGACTCTAATAAAACTTATCTTGGATCAACATACAAAGCTGACTGGTGCACCTAAATTTGAACCCCTTCCCTTTTTTTTTTTTTAATTGAAAGCTGAATGACTTATATATATTACCCTTGTTTAATAAATTCCACATTGGCATCCTAGCTAAGCGGTATTTGGTTCGTCTGTAGTTTTATGGTTGATCATCAAGAAGTTGCTTGTCGCATTAGTTATTCGTCATCAATTTACACATTGCTTAAGCAAGCCAGTTCATACTTCATAGAGGAAAAACTAATTATACTTTTTTTCATTAAGGCTCAGTTTGGGAGGAGTATAAATACAAATATGTATAATATAAATACATACAAAATAATATAAAATTCAAGATTTTGTACTCTACATATTTGTATTTGTACTTGTTCTAAATTGAGTCGAATACAAATATAAATATATATAAAATATAAGTTTTTATATTCTATAAATTTGTATTTATACTCTTTCCAAACTAAACCTAATGGGTTGTTGATATCAAAAGTTTCATTCTTATCCAATGAACTAAACACCCCTTAATGCATACACACAATGTTGTTTTTGTGGCCAAACTCACTCTTCTTCTGAATGATCTCATCATCCATTTATTGATGATTTCAAGTGGATCTTATTTGATCAATTTGGAAGTAATTAATATCCATTTTAATTTTAAAGTATGCTACTACAGCTTTAGGTTTTTTGGCAAGTTGAAATATTATTAATAGAGAGCAACACTACATAAGCAAGCCTAACAGATAGGCAGCTAGCGAAAAAAAAAAAAAAACAGAAAATAGACAAACCATATAGCTTATGATATTCGAAACAACATTTTTTTCTTCTAAACTTGATAAAAATGAGTAAAAGGACAAGAAAAGACTTGCAGGCTCAGGCTTAAAAATTCTCTCACAAGATTGGGAAGTAGAATCTCCTTTCTCAAATGATAATGTCCTCTCAAGCCTTTTGTACTAGCTTTGAATACCAAAGCATCTCTCTCTAAATTGGGAAGTAGAGTCTCCTTTTTAAAAATGGTAATGTCCTCCCAAGCCCTTTTGTATTAGATTGAATGCTAAAGCATCTCTCTTTCTCTGAACAGTATAAGCATTTACCAGAAGATGGGAAAATGTTAAGGCTTAGTTTGAAAAGAATACAAATGCAAATATGTACAACTTAAATACATATAAAATAATATAAAATATAAGGTTTTGCACTCTACATATTTGCATTTGTACTCTTTCCAAACATAGCCTAAATAAACTCATATACATTGTAACAAAGCAATATGGGTGTAACTCAAGTCGGCCCAATACAAAATCCCAACCCGGGCACACCCAAGTTGCACCCTTACAAAATAGGGTGATTTCTCGGGAACCATTAATTTCAGCCAATGTTTTCGAATCTCAATTGACCTAGATGGTCAGACAATTTGGCCTAGGAACCATTTAGGCAACCAATTCCATTTTACCCCAAACTTGTCTTTGGTCAACAATCCGTTGATTTAGACGGTTAAATCATCAATCCATTCAATGGTTTTTTACTATTTTTTATTTTTTGTTAAAATAGGCCATTCATTCAAACTGAATGGTCGAACCATTGATCAAGAACGATTCTGATTTTAGGTCAGTTTTTAAAACTTTGATCTCAGCCATTGGTTCGTCTGCACGTAAGTAAGTAGCAAATAGCAATACTACATGGACCTTGATCTCAGCTTAGTTGTTTGCCGTGCAATTGAACTTAGGCGTTGTTTGGTAAATAAGTTAAGGTATTGCTAAGTGAACTTAGGCATTGTTTGTTTGTTGTGCAATTTTATTTGCAGTGGTGCAACAGTACAGAAGTACAAATAAGTTGACCGTAAATTCTGATGATTCTTTTTAAACATATATATATTTTTTTTGGCTGCAAACTCTTGTTTTAAATGTTATTGTTTTGTTTGTTTTCACTCCGCAGTAAAATAAGGAAAAACTCTAAAAACCCAAAATAAAAATAAACCATAATTTATTAATTTGCAGTCTTTTCATTTACACCGCCGTACATTTGTATTAGATCAATCGGACGATCCGAAGCTGTTGAACGTGAGATAACATCATGGAATACATATCGAGGAGAAAAGTTACTTAGTTATAATCAAAACTGATTGGATCAGACGGACAATCCACGACGACACAAATGATCAGTTGGGTATGTCCCACAACTATTGTCGAAAAGCTGATTATGACGGGGATCCTATATTCACAAAAGAGATGAATACTCATCCAACGGTTTTAACTGTAATTGCATACGATTTTATGTACAAAATGTTGTACTGTAAAATCAATCACACCGTAGACGGTAGACCTCGATCGGACGGAGCAGTATACCTAACCTAACTTATTAATAAGTTCCAACCCCACCACGTGAAAAGCACTTAAGAAAATCAATAAGAATTAAAAGAAAAACAGCGAAAAGACAAGAAAATAAAAAAGGAAAGGCCACCTCAAGACAAGAACAATTTATCTGCTTGCTTTCTGTTGCACTGTCCCTCCGCTCTACTCCTGTCCGGATTTCTTTCCCTTCCCGCTCTGCAATCATCTCTTCCCATGTTAACCTGTTCCAAGGATCACCGGGAGACATGCAGAGCGGCTGCAGGGGGGTCTCTTCTTTTGTTCATCATCTCAACCTTTGTCCTCAGTTGCCGTGCTTGCTCTAACGGGAATTGTCAGGTTTGATCTCTGATCAGATTAAGCACAACCTGAAATTGTTTAGTCTCTTTACTTCTCATTTTTCCCAAATCCCAACTTTAATTATACTCCAAATTCTCAGTTTCTCGACTCGTGTTCCACTCCTACCGACTGTGGACCTGGTCTGTACTGCGGCAACTGCCCTGCGAGCGGGAAGACAGAGCCCACTTGCACCAGAGGCCAGGCCATCCAGCCGACATCATTTGTATGTTCTTCCTTTTCTTCTTGGGTTTGTTTTTCCGATACAATTCCTTTCAGATTCTATGCTCTTAACTCATTCTTCTTATTTATTCTGATGTGGTATCTGAGTTACCGTGTTCTGGGTGTTGGTAGATTCCGGGGCTTCCCTTCAACAAGTATTCATGGCTGGTGACCCACAACTCGTTCTCTATTGTTGACGCACCGCCCCTGCCCGGTGTCCAGAGGATGACATTTTATAATCAAGAAGACTCTGTTTCTAATCAGTTGAGGGTATGCACCAATAACTAGAATCCTTCTCTCCAAAATTTCAATTCATCGGAGTGATTGTTTCTTCTTTTGGCAACTAATTTAGTTTTCAAATTCTGGGACTTGTTTAGAATGGTGTAAGAGGGTTGATGTTGGACATGTATGATTTCGAGGACGATGTTTGGCTCTGCCATTCGATGCGTGGACAATGCTACAACTTCACTGCTTTTGTAATCTAAACTTCGGTTTAACCAATTCAGTTGTAATCTAAACTTCTTTTGCAAATGATCTTACTACTGTGTGCTGCGTGCATTTTCAGGAACCTGCAATCAACACCTTGAAGGAAGTAGAGGCATTTTTGAGTGAAAACCCATCGGAGATTGTGACCATTATAATTGAGGACTATGTGCATACGCCTAAGGCATTGACAAGGCTTTTCACTAATGCTGGATTACTAGAGTATTGGTTTCCTGTCTCAAAGATGCCAAAGAAGGGTGAGGATTGGCCTACTATTACTGACATGGTTGCAGAGAATCACCGACTCCTGGTCTTCACCTCTGATGCTTCCAAGGAAGCTGACGAAGGAATTGCATATCAGTGGAAGTACATTCTGGAAAATGAGCGTAAGCACAAAAACTTTCATGAGTTTGAAGTTTTGATGTTATATTTGTTTTATAGTGCAATCATGTTTTGATTTTCAGCTGGAGATCCTGGTTTTGTACAAGGTTCATGTTCCAACAGAAAGGAGTCACAACCACTAAATTCAAGAAGTGCATCCCTGTTTCTACAGAACTACTTCCCTACGTTTCCAGTAGAATCTGAAAGCTGCAAAGAGAACTCAGCTACACTTATTGGGATGGTCGGTACTTGTTACAAAGCAGCTGGAAATGTGATGCCTAACTTTGTTGCCATAAACTTTTACATGGTATTATAACTTTTTTATTTCTAGAAGGGAAATATATAGATAAATATATGAAAATTCGGCACCCTGATGGGAAACTCAAATATTGCAGAGGAGTGATGGAGGAGGTGTTTTTGATGCTCTCGACAGAATGAATGGACTGACTTTATGTGGGTGTAGTACTGTTACCGCTTGCCAGGTTTATGACTATGCTTATCCATTTCAGTTGTTTATGAACTTTCACTCCATCACGTGAAAGAGTAGCATATGGAAGTACATGTTCTTGGTTCAATAGTGATTCAATTCAATGATTCATCCACCTACTATGGAGATTGTTTATAGTCTTTTAAACTGTATTTAGATAATCATAAGGCAATAAATTTGATGGTTAGGATCATCTTGATGGGTCAATTGGACCTATGATATATCATGGAGGATGCCTTCATCCAACCCTCTCATAATGACATGAATATTATTTCATGTATTTCCTTCAAAGAGTCACTCCCCTGATGAAACTTTTGCAGGTTGGAGCACCAAAGGGATCATGCAAGGAAACTGCTGCAACTAATAGAACTCCTACAGCAAGGACTGGAAGCAGCTTTTCTGGATATGTTCAGTTATCTAGTTCTACTTCACCAAACCATTTTTTAAATCTCTTGATTCTTAACTTATTTTGCCTTTCACTGATGGCATTTTTGTCATTGTAACTATTAACATCACAAGATAGATGATTGATTTCTACTCTATATAGCCTTGCAAGCCATTACATAAATTTTGGGCTTTAGAACAAGTTGACTAAATTTCTGCATTGGCTAGTGGAAGGTTGAGACAGGCTAGCTGGAATACTAAACGTAACTGTGGAAGCAACAACTCTTTTGAGTTCTCAGGCGAAAGTTGAAAGTTGAGGTGGGATTTGTTTTGGGGATTTTTGGTAGATAGAAGTCAAGAGACACCAAAATACCAATGTATCAAAATGGTGGTTCAGGTATATGCCACTTTAGGAGTTATCTTATTGATCGTGCTTCAGCACTGTGAAATTGAAATACAAATGAATCTATTATTGTCACTATTGTATGAGAAATATCACAGTTTTCTGTTCCGTTCTTCTCTTCGGCAGGAGGTCTTGATGAGCTATCACTTTCTTCTTCATTTCTTTATTGATGAACCTAATCTTTTTCCTGCGAACATCAGTGCTTGGAATTTGAAAACAATTGAGGCAGATAATAGTTAGTTAGAACTGCATTTTCATTGAACCCTTCTAAATTTACTTGTTTGATAGCTAAACTTTTGATTTCAACTGAAACATACGATGTTTATGGTGAGGAAGCTCATGCTTTCAATCAATCTGTTTGCCGGGCTATATGCTTATACAAGGTACTAGGTAGAAGGAGACCACAAAATGTGTTGTCTGAGATATGTTATTGATATTGTTTGTCCTTCTACCTTATACCTTGTTCATTACCAGAGGGAAAACATGACAATTCTATTGAAAGTTGTGATGAATACCCAAATGTTTATCTAAGAGAAAGAAATTCCATCCACATTTGACTTACAAATTTGGAGTAAATTCTACAAATTTAGATGCAATACCCAAATGTTTAACTTAGGAAAGAGAAATTTTAGAGGACTAATGGTTATTACTGATACTTATGTTTACAGTGTTTTTACAATGCAAAAATTTATGTAATGGCTTAGAGAGTCTCTTACAGATTAAGAAGAAATTCTAATCCCTAATGACTACCTGGAACTGGAATATCCTGTTCTCCTTCCTTTAATTCTCGAGGAAATATTGTACTCCTTTTCTTGTCCCACCTTCTTTTTCTTTAGGATAAATCTTTATTATTGAAAAAGCAAAAACTACAAATCCATTCTTAAATCTGATGTCATTTGAAAATGGATAAATTGAGACAGCATCTAGCACTAAACTGCATCAGTATTGGAACCTTACTAGCATTAGATATCTCTTGGTGTTTTTTAGATACTGGAAAATATTGCATATATTGGCCGGAAATGTATTAAAATGACATCAGATTCAAAAATATGGCAAGGGTTTTGAGAAATACATTGAAATGGTGGTATAGAGTATGTATTTGAATATAGTACAGAAAAGTTAATTTATTATTATTTGTTGTTATAGACTCATATATCGAATAAGTTTATCAACTAGGAAGAGGTACGTATTGGTGTTCATGAAATTCTGGTAGCCAGAATACATCTTTTCATTGTTTTGCATTGTTGAAGTAGTTGACTGATATCAATTATCAAATATAGATTACCAAACTAACTCAAACAACATCCATGCGGAGAAAACTTTATGTGGGAGTCACTATCCGCTAGGAGTTATTCTTGTAGGCACTTTTATTTGATTTGGTTGCTACGAATTAAGAACCCTAAGAGAGTCTTGACCTTTGATTTTGTATAACAGTAGTAGGGTAACATTGGGAAATTCCAAAGTCATTATCCACTAGGAGTTATTCATGTAGGAACTTTTAGTTGATTTGGTCACTACAAATTAAGAACCCTAAGAGAGTCTTGACCTTTGATTTTGTATAACAGTAGTAGGGTAACATTGGGAAATTCTAACTTCCCTTTCTACATGATAAATTGGGAATTTAATTTGTGGATCCGGTGTACATGCATCATAGGTTGACTGTTCTGATGAATTTGCACTGGACCAATGTGTGTCTCTGTACAACATTGGGTACAATTTTGTTTATAACATGTCACAGGTTAGGTTTGCATCCAGTCCACCCTTCCCAAGACCCTAGATAGCTGGGACCAACATTGTGTAATGGCTCTTAATGTGTGTGTTTACAGTGCAAAGAGTGAGTGGAGAGGGGGAATAAACATAAATATGCAAGAATTGGGGGAACTGACATTGGGATACAAAACCCCTACACCATGTCTGCCTTGATTGGTGTTTCAGAAATACTTTAGATTTTTCCCCTCCTCTTAGATGGAGATTTGTAGGAAAACACTACTGGGTGCATAGTTTGATGCTTGTGTATTCAATATTGTACAAATTTTTAGGTTAGTAAACTGATGATTGACTTCTTGGCAAAACCTAAAGTTAAACTTTTTAGTATTACTTTTTCTTTTTGGGTTACAACATGACCATTTGGACAGAGTTAACTTCCCATCTTGACTAAGTTGGGAAGAGTTAATGGACTGTATTCCATTCTATTGGCCCTCTTTATCCTGCCCCATCAACCTAAATTTTGGTGGTTCAATCCCATATAGAGCTGGTCTAGTTGTACTGGTCACTCTCGTACGAGTTACAGTCTGGTGTGAATGGGTGTTGAGTTGTGCATTGAATTCTTTTTGTGGCCTGCTTCATGACCTGACCCAACATTTGTGGAGAAAAACCTGAAGATGGAAAATTTATTGAGATCTCTGGTAGATGCAGAAGGCTTGGATTGGATTGTCAGGGTATGGAGGTGGGGGAAGGGGAATTTCTAGACCCGACCCTTGTTTGTTGTTTATGGGCCAGATCCAAATATATTATGTTGGGGTCTCTCTCATATTTGTATGCCATTCTATTGGGCATGAGGAGAGGCAGGTCAACCTTGTACTTTAGGATTTTTCTGTGACAGAGGTAGCTCAACCTTGTACCTTCCTTTACAGTTAATATAGTGGATTTTCTGTTCCTCCTTTGCCTGTGGACATAGGCCAAAGGCAAAACTCATATCTCTGTTCTGCTTTGTTTTACTGTGTCATTCGAATCTGTGTTTCTAGGTTTTGTGCAACAATGGGAAATCTCTTATTTACTTTATATGGAAAGGAAGCTAAGATATTTTAGAGTCCTAATGGTCAGCTAGAGATGTTATTTAGTGAGGGAATTTTTTGTTAAATCACTTTTTGTAAGTATATGTGTGTGAGTACTTATTTCACGGGGGAACTTTTGTATTATGTTTGTTAAGTGTGGTTATTACAATGGTACTAGCGGAGTCCTTTAAACATTAGAAGCTACCATTCTTGGATCATAACGGTTTGATTAGTAGCACTATTATCTCAAAATGTTGGACACTAGAAGCAACTGACTTATTTTTAACTGCTTGCCCCCACTTAGGTTCTTAGCAGCTCTCAAATCTTGAGCATACATCCTGAAGCAATTTTTGGTTCATTAATGTCTGTGCAGGAAATCTACACTCTATTTGTTGGGATAAGTCAACCTTCCATAAGTTGCAACAAAATTGTTAAGAGAACATTAGGGTTTCATATTATCAAAAGATGTTGTAGGTCACTGTGGACCAGTTCACACTAATGGAGTTGGAAATAAGACTGTGTGGAGAGTGGTGTGGAATTGTTGATGTGTGAAGTGTGAACTACTGAGATTTTTTGTGGCACAACAATCACCAAATATATTACTATATAATGGCCATTCGTGTGTGTAATGCAATTGGTGTTGTTTCTCTGTTTGAGAGGAATTACTTACTGTAATTACCAATTGTTGCTCTAGACCCCTGGAATGATCAAATCGAAAACCTCAATTACAAAGCTATGAGTACATTTCTAGACACTGCAAGCTACTTAAGAGTGCATAATTACTTCTTTGGATGCCATGTGAAACGAAATGTGTCTGATGTGGTTTTCTTTGACATCTTAGAGAACAAGTTAGCCACATCAAATGGATCTATTCCCAGCTTCAAATAAGAAATTGGGATAAAGGTCATTTCAAGTTTGTTTGATAATTATTAACACACAGTGAGTGTTTGAAAATGAACTCATCAAATCTGAAATTCCAAAATAAATTTGTTTCAGGTGATACTGTGGGTCCAAATGCTAAGCAAAATTATGAAATGATCATCTATCAGTTTTTTCATATGGCATCTCTACTGGTAGTAGAAAGATGTTCCAGTATTTACATAATAGACTGAAAAAAGCACTTCATTTTTTTATTTATTATTGTCTTAAATCCATTTTTATATTTGCTTACCGTTAATCTTCTATCCAGCCCCGATAGATGATTTTAGTTTGGATTTTTCAGGTTTACTTGTAGGAACATCTGAGGTGTAGCTGTCGGAGGTAGAAGTGTATGGTTTGGTTTAGATGGAAATGATCATCAATTCCCTTTCTCCCTTTTCTACTGAGACACAACAACTTTAGGTTTGGGTTCAAATCTGATTCATCAGCCACCGCATTCGTTCAATCCTGCTCCTTTTCTGCATTACATGCTTTATGACTATAGAAGGATAGGAGACCATAAATGAGTAAATGACCACAGAATTGTGCAGGGTAAGGACCTAACAAACAACAAATCTGCCAAGTTATGGGCATGAGACATACAAGATCATACCCAAACATAAGTTACTGCAAATCTAGAGTTCAGCTGAATTGAGCATGTTAGGGCCTGGCTTGGGCAAGAGCGCAAGCTACGACTATCCAACCCGGCTTCCCCAAAACCCAAGTAGGCTCACCCTTTATCAGGCTTTTGGTTCCTGAAGAGTTGAGCCATCACAAGTTAAAAACACCCTATCTAGACAGAATTCCATTCGGCAGTCGGCACTGATCACCATTTCAGGGCATCTTTTTTTTTGCGGAAAAAAAAGGTGGTGAAATTTTTTAAGGAATTTCTTAGGCTCCATTTGGTTTGTGGGAAGATTTGAGTGGAATGGGATGAGATGGAATGATAATGTGTAAAATTTTCCGTTATCATTGTTTGGTTTATAGAAAGGAAATTAGTGGGCATAATCCTTTTTACATGTTTGTTTTGTGGAAAGAAAACAAGACCTATCCAAGAGGATAGAGGGGAAGAAGAAGAAAACACCAGGTTGATGCATCCTAAATTTGTTATCAGATGAGTAGTTGTAGTACGAATAGGGAGGAGGAAAGCAGAATAAAGCCCACAAGCAGAGAGCGCTAGACAACCTAACTGCTGCGATGGTAAACAACACACAAGCTCCAACAGCACACGAGCTCAATAATTGTTGGCTGTTCAATATTTCTGGATTGCAAGCTATGTATTGGCACACATTCGCTGATAAGTTTGGTACAACCACACCACAATAAAACACTGAAAACCATACCTCCTGTGTATTTGGCCCTCTCTATTTTCTGATGCTACACTACTTATTTCCACTATTCTTGTGAGTTGTGACATGGAAAACCAGGGAGAAAATGAAAAAGAAAGAGAATGGAGTTTCAGTCCGGCCAAACCTTCACACGGAGACATTGAAGAAAATAACTAGGTCTCCAACCATTGAAAGGGGGAAATAAATGGGATGGGGAAGAAGAAAGAATGGGCCAAAAAACAAAGGGTTCGACTATGATATGGAAAAGATTTGATATCTAAAAATTTTCTGACCAATCAACTGGAATCATAAACGTAACCAATCAGATGGTGTTTATTAAAATTCATGGGTGGGTTTTGATTGGTCAAAACTCATACCATACCATATCTTTTCCACATCATAGATTTTCCCATTTCAACTATGATATGGAAAAGACATAATATCCAAAAAGCAATTGACCAATAAACCAGAATCATAAACGTGGTAGGGAGCATAATGTTATTTATCAAAATTCATGGGTGGGTTTTCCCTAAAGCAAAACCCATAATTCACATTCAATTAGTTATAAAGGCACTAAAAAACAATTAATTTTGGCCGCCCAAAAAGAACTACAGAGCATTTGGGATGAAAATATGAATAATGTGATATTTAATCAAATGCAAAATAAAAAAATACGGATGGTGATACTTAAATAATTTTTTTTCATAAATCTACCGTCGAGAATCCGATTCCTACCAAGCCAGGTAGAAATAATCTCGTAACGAGATTCTGTATATACCAAACTAGACACGGTGGATTCATTTCGTTCGTGACCATAGATGGCAAGAACTCCATACTCGAATTCCTGGGTAGTTATTCTTTCTTTATTATTACTCTTGCTAACAGAGGGAGTTGACAATAGATCGGCGAAGCAGGGAACAAAGAGGGAACACTTGTACGAGGCACAGTTGTACTCTCCATGAGACACTTGTATCTGATTTTATCCATTTTCCAATAAAATTACTTCATCTAATAAAAAAAAAAAGGGAGAATTGACAAAAAAATCAGTTTCAGGAAGCTCCAAATAAAGCCTTTTGCGTCTCGCGCATAAAAACACAGGAAGACACAAAAGACATGCATCTGCCAAACTAACTTCTAACTGTTCAGATCTTCATGCAAAAGTTCAATATGCCTTTTGACTGTCAGATTTACCAGAAGATTCAGTGTTGCCTGGACTTGAAAAGAATACAAATACAAATATGTACAGTGCACTAGCATGCAAAATAATACAATATATAAGGTTCTGCACTCTACATATTTGCAATTATACTCCTTCCGAACTGAGACTAGATTCAATTTGAAAAGAGTGCAAAATCTTGTACTACTTGTAGAGTGCAAAATGTTGTATTTGTACTGCATATATTAATTAGTATTGTACTATTTCCAAACTGAGCCTAAGCGACACTATCATTTTCTGTTTTGTCTTATCTGACATAAATTTACAGTTGAGGCTTTTGAATTTTTTACAGTTAAGGCTCAGTCTAGGTAGAATGCAAATACAAATACGTACACTACAAATACAAGGTTTTGCACTGAATATATTTGCATTTGCACTCTTCACAAACTGAGCCGACCGTACAATATGGCATTTTTCTTGTCAACAAATATATGTGTATGTGTGTGCATTTTTTTCATGGTCCAGAACACTCCCGGTTTCAACTTTCAACTAATCAGCAACTCCCTTCTCATTAACAGCACACACTAAAACACTGAAATACAATAATCAATTGGATTCAAGCATCAGCAAATACATTTATATTGAGTATGGATGGGCTTACAAGATTACTAAAAAGCTGAAGGGAAGCATAAATTTCAGGGTAATAGACTTTTTTATCAATATTCAGGATAATAGACTATTAGTGTAGTTAGAAGTGCTTCTAAAGTAAAGTATCTTCTTTTTGCTGATTATCTATTTTATGGTAAATTGGTAGAGCATCTACGAGAGAAGCAGCGAAAATTTTTATAGGTACTTAATCATTTTCAACAATCATCTGGATAAGTTTTAAACTTTCAGGAATCAGAATGTTCGGAACAGTAACTTCATTGCTAGTTAAGAATCAAGAGAATAATAAGTCTATCACTTCCCATAGAAATTCCATTCACTGGAATCCAGATGAAGAGTCTAGTAGGTTGTCTGCCTGTCCCAACCTCCTACTGAGTATTTCAAATTTAACTGTATGGTTGTATTCTTTTTTTTCGGGGGGGTATTTAACTGTATGGTTGTATAGTTCTTTCATCTTTGGATTCTTATGGTACTTTGTAAGATGTGATAATGGTTCATTTTCTGCAGGTTTAGGTGGCTTATCAAAAATATAACTAATTAACTACAGGTGTTTTGGAAATGAAGAAAGCTATTTTGATGGTCCTTAAATTTGCTTTAGATCAACAGTGGAAACATGATGTCATTGAGTCTGGTTCTATTGTTGCTATCTCTGGGCTTAACAATGATTCCGTGTCCTCTCTATGATCCTATTATTATAATTTGAACCTTGTTAAACTTTTATGCTTTAACTTTGAGAACCACGCTTTTAGTTATGTTAAAAAACAGGGTAATAGTACTGTTCACCTTGTAGCACAAAAGGCTAAAAACTTTTCAACCTTAGATGGTTTGGTTTCATCCTCCTATATGACTATGAGAAACCTTTTATTTTATTCAGACTTGTATGATGCTGTTGGTTAATTTTATGTTTTGTTTATTCAGAAAAAAAAAAGGTAACAATAAATGCATTACTAAAAAACACCAACAAAGATAAAACTACATGCACCAAGAATAGAAACGACAAATGGGTCTACCAGAAAACATGGCATACCTTCCATCATCAAGCTATCAGTGATATACATTAGCAGATGCTGATAGAGTTTAAACAGACAGAACTTGGGGAAATAAAAAGGTGAGAAACTAAGAACATCATTGCTCTCCCGGCTAGTCCCAGCAGCCTATCAGGGAGTAAACTCCTAAAAGGCTAGAGATGTTTCACAACAAAAAAAATGACGTGAATCCTAATTCCCAAAGAAACAGTTGACTACAATCTATCTAACTCAAGAATAAGTACTTTCATAGAACACTAGCTCGCTTTAGTACAACCCCGAGAGGAAAAAATAGGCAGGATCATCTATACAACTTTAAAACCCTAAATTACCGCTAAAGCGACAAAAATCTAAGATGGAATAACAAACTAGCATTGCAAAAATCAAATGAAAAGGGAAAAACCGATTTCGTAAATCATTTTCCACTTGAGAAAAGCATAAGCACTTTTCAATTTAAACCCAAGGCCCTAATTCATCATCCAACATTAAATATGCCGTAAAAAATCTCCAGAAATAAAAACTATTTTAGATTAAGAAATAGAGGTTTATGCAAAATCTCTCAAAATAAAGAAAATGGTAAACGGCTTTGACATCCTGACTTCCAAAGTTCCAATAAGCAATAACTAAAAAATAATAAAAAATAAAAACCGAACAAATAAGTAACACCTCTCCGTTTCGTCTTTTCCTCCTTGTTGTTCTTCTTTCTCCACTCAACGGTATGACTTCTGGAAGCGAGCGCGAGCTCCCCGTCCTCCAAACTTCTTAGGCTCGCAGCGCCTTGGATCCGCCACGAGGAGCGTCCTGTCATATCTAACGAGTATGTCTTTGATCTCTTTTTTCGACTGTTCATCAACATACTTCTGATAGTAAGCTACAAGGGCCTTCGCAATGCTTTGACGGATGGCATATATCTGTGAAGTATGACCTCCTCCCCGAACCCTAATCCTCATGTCAACACCTGCAAATCTCTGACGACCCAGAAGGAGAATTGGCTCGTAGGCCTTGTAACGGAGAATCTCCGGTTCAACAAGCTCAATCGGGCAGCCATTAATCTTGATGAGGCCCCTACCTCGCTTGCAGTAGGTGACTGCAACGGCAGTCTTTTTGCGACCAAAGCACTGAACAGATTCCACGGCCGCCATTAGGTGGATGCTTTCTCTGTGCTCTCAAAACCCTAAACCTATCTCGGACTCGGGGAGTGAACACGGGAGATTGGGCAGAGAAGAAAGAGAAACTCGGGAGCGTTGATAATTAATACATTAGGGTTTTATTGGACGAAGAATTGTAAAGTCCGCAATTTTCTTAAAATTACAAATATTGCCATTCCTGTTGCATGAACAGAGTGGCGTCGAGACTATTACTTGTTCGGGTTAAAGTTCGCGAAAAATGAATGTTCGAGTACTAGAATGTTATATTTTGAAGTTCAAGTATTAAATTCGCATTCAGCCTAAAGTACTGGTACCTATTAGGAATTTTCCCTAAATGTTATATGTCAAATAAAACATTTTGACTCGAGTCAAATTAGTTCAAATATCTAACTCAAATCGAATTAAGCTTAAATAAGCAGATATTCAACTCGATTCGGATCGGATTCACCTTTATACATGATTTATAATTCGGGTAAGAAGCACAGGATCCGAGTCCAGATCCCCTCCCAACAAAAAATCATTGCAAGACAGTTCCAACATAATCTTTGCCTATATATGCACGTCTAATATATGGTTGGACATAGTATATGGGATGGTGAAATGTGCAGACACATTCACAGTTTTTGTTGGGAGGACGGAGGACATTCTTAATTACTCGACACAAACCCATTGACCCATTACCATATACGGATTCTGGAAGTGTTGAATGTTGATTTTTTTTTTTATTTGAATGGCTATAGTAGTTATCCCGCAAACCAGGTGTAGGCAGAATTTGATTCTAAGTCTCCGCTACAACCAACAAGACACCTTATCAACCAGCTGGTTGGCACCTTGCTGAAGCGTTGAATGTTGATAGATCAAATGTGCCATTGTCAACACTTGGATGGGATAAAATTGCCCTTTTCAACAATAACTTTTTTATGGCTAAAACAGTCATTGTCTTATTTACATAAAAAATAAAATAACATGAGTAAATGCACTCAGAAAACACTTACCGATTATTGTCTTATTTACATGGAAAATAAAACAACATGAATAAATGCACTTACTTAGATACCCGGGTAAGTGCATTTACCCAAGCAAGTAACTTCCCAAAAAGTGAACAGGCCCAAATAGTAAATTTGAATGTGTTTTAGGCTTTTAGCCTCATGATGAACAACAAGTGCAAACATCTCCCCGTGAATGGTAACATGCAAATACGGAGTATGTTCTTACTGTAGTGAGGCATGGGTAGGAGATCCAAACTGAAAATTTTCAAAATAGATGTGCAATAAATGATGCTTGAGAATAGATAAACAACTATGTCATTTTCCTTACCATATCAGCTAGAAATAAATTTCCACCCAGCCAACCCCTAACTCCAATCACCCTCCTCCAGGAACCCAACTCTCTTTATACTAGAACGAATCAAAGAGTTAGAAGAAAAAGAGGTGGAGAACAAGACTTGGGGCAAGGGTCAATCTTATTCTTATTGCCAATCTCAGTTCATTAGCTTCACCCAAAGAGAGATATGGTCCCTCCAAATACCAATACAGTCATTGTTTGAAGTCGGGCACCAAAAAGGCTGTTATAAAACACCAGAATGATTCACAATGAAACAATTGAACTAAAAGTGAATTAATACAACCAAGTCGATGGTGTCTTTATAATACTGGAAAAGCAATAAACAATTATGTACATAGACCATCTTAAAGCAATTAAAAAACATGACAAGTTACATGATGGGCCATAGTGAAACTGTACTAGCATTAAGAGGCACTCCCAAAGGCTTTATCTGAAGGGCAGGGCTAATGGCAAGCAAACCAATAAAGCAATCCACAGGAACCCTCATCCCCCACACGTTTATTGACTCAAGTTTGCAACATTTGTTTACAAGCATGATAAGTCCATTTTCAGTAACATGGCGACAGCTCCAGAGGATGATGGTCTGTCAAAAAGAACAACATTCTCTTTAACTATGAAATCTTCCATAAGTAACATTCTCTTAAAATGTCAAAAAGAACGACATTTGTTGATGTTTTTCCAAATAAGTAAAATTGAGCACTTTTATTGTCTCAGAATGCAGGAAATCTATGAAGTATCCCCAAACACTAGGGAAAAAAACTTAGTATGCAGCATTTTGAGAAAACTCACCTTCAAATGTGGGCAGTTGTTTGCAATTGCAAAGAGAGATTCATCAGTAACAAATGTACCGCCAATATTGAGGTATTGCAAAGAAACAGCTCTTGAAACCTGGAAACAAGAAATTCAATAAACAAAATGACATGAAAGAGAAGAGAGAACAAGAAAAAGCATGAAGCAGATTTTAATACCACTTAAGAGAGCTTATTTGCCAACTTTTCTATATAAAGGATAAAAAAGGATGGATACTCCCAAGAGGGAAATAACATGGAACCCTATTGCAACTGACATGGTATTACAATTTCCAAAGCCAAGAAACAGAGAAGAGGCGGCATGCCAGAAGTAGAATTGTGCTACAAACTAATAAGTTTTAATAATGTAATAAATCCATAATTTAATTGCTACACATTTTGTAGGCAGTATTACCTTGATATGGGGTAATGGCCTTCTTATTACTTTCAAATTTAGAACATTGACAATGTGCACCTTGCAGAAGGGAACTAGTTTAGGCAAGCCATCTAAGATGACACCTAGTTTCAATAATGTATTAAGGCACAGGTGGGATGTCCTGTCAAGGTGAATCAATAACTCAGGCAAAAGTTTATTTTATTCAAAACTTCATTTTACAATAATAGCAGAAACACACAATAATATTCTCCAACTTGATAGGAAAAGTTAAAAGATATGATCCAGTTAAAAAAAAATGGGTTTACTCCAACACTACACACAGTTCTCGACATCACTTAAAGATATGATCCTTTTGCTACCAATAGGTCTCCTCTGCAATAGCACCAAATTCCAAAGGAACATACTAGGAAAATCTTGTTTTCAGAGTTATACAGTGAACCGCATTGTTTTGCTTTTTATTCAAATATAAATTTAACATCCAAAACAGCATGACATGATACTCCACCTGATTGAATTAAGAAAATTCTTCAAAAAAAAAAGGCTCTAATTGATATAGTGTATTCATCCTGCTTAATGTATATTTTGTTTTTTTTTTCCGCTTTGCAAGCTTCTGGCTTCAGATGGGAGTTAGTGTCACGTGTTTGCACACAACAAAGCAAAGAATGGGTTTCCAAACACTAGTGAACAAATGTGCCAATTAGGAATGATCTGGTGTACATTGAAGAATCTAAGAAGACAAGATAAATCCCCAAAAGGACATGCGTCTTTCCTGATCAGGATGACACTACGAGTATAATGGTTTACAACAAATGATAAGTATGGAAGAATCTGCTTCTCTGTTAACAGCCGACATTTTATTATGTTAACTGACAATATCTGAGGTTCCATTCTTTCATTTGTTCGCTTATGATTGATATGATTGATAAAAGTTATTAATTATCAATCAATAAGAGGGACAATACTAGATGTTAACCTTTGCAAACAATCTCACGGGTCACTTGTGTGCATGTTCAAGAAATGAACATGCACAAAGATCAAAGTTTTAAAGCAGCTTAATGAATTAGAAGAAGAAAATATGTATAGGCTGAATTAATGGAGAAAACATCCAAAAGTTTCATTTGTATACATCCTAAAATACTGGATTGGATACTAAGAATAAACTATCTACAAAATAATGCACCAATTTTATATCAGCCTAATCATCATATTATTTATTATTTTATTTTTGGTGTTTAAATGTGATAAAAGTTACATACCAGTTGAACAACACCTTTATCCGTGATGCCTGTCATGCCCCACAGGGATATTGAGGTCAGGTTGCTGACACACTTGGCCAATGATATTTTATGTAGTCCATCATCTGTTATTTGGCAGCCCCACCGACTTCTTGAACTGACGAGGTAAAAAGCAAAATAAAAGCAAATGAGGGAGAAAACTTACAGCATGTTATGTTCATTTAATATCTTTTGGTTTTTTATCAGCATGTTCATACAATATCTTTAAAACATGAAACTCAACTATTCCACTTCATTGGAACGAGGAAAAGTTTATTAAAGAAGTGATGATAAGTTCCACTCACAGTCATTTCCCTACAGTGATCAAGGGAGGTCCAGGATGTTGCATACATTATTTGCAACTAGAAATATCTTTTGTTCATCCTAAAATAAAACTCTTTTCAGTTGGGGAGGGGCTAAAAATAGTTTATCCCTTCCCCATTCTTTCTCTTAAAATGTGCTAATTCTCTTCTTAACTAATAATATTGATTCTGTTATTGATAAAAAAAAATTCCCCATTCTTTCTCTTAAAATGTACTAATTCTCTTCTTAACTAATGATATTGATTCTGTTATTGATAAAAAAAAAAAATCTGTTCATCCTACTTACTCAGTGTATCAACATCAGCGTAGAGAAGCTTGCTCAAATCATATATTCTGGTAATAGAGCCATTAGCTTTATCTCAAGTAATTTGTGAGTTTCCATCATATAACAGCTACCTAAATTACTTCAAGTAACAATGCTGGTTCTTCACCACATGGCCTCTATTTGCATCTAGAGAATGTCTTTTTCACAAAGGTTAAACCTAAAAGGACATGGCAATACTTGGGGAAGGGGACTGGAGGTTGTAACTTTAAAGCCTCTGATTGTATTGGTGAATCCAATGTGGAGAAAAGGGAAGGAACAATGGATAAGATTCACTATCTAAATTAGATTTTATATATCAAGCAACCAAAAGAGTACTGAAAAGACACAGAAAGTTTGCAAGAGGTCAATCTGATCCATTCATATGTAAAATGCTTTTTGACAGGCTAAACAATCTGGCATCACCATTTTTTCAAGTTGACATATCTTGAGTGAATTCATCCAACAACACTCACCTATCAGCAACTATAGAGAGCCAAAGAAAATACTTATATCCCATTAAACCGTAACACTTACAAAACAATTTGATACTGCATGACATTTACTTGATTGACAAAATAATTTCTCTACTTCACTCAAAATGAATTAAAATGATACAAACAAAAAGTTTGTCTAAAAAATATTATCTTTGTGTAGAAGCACGTTGTCTATCTCCAGAATCAAAGTTGTGTTTAGTATTTTTCTTCAAAATGGACAAGCCTAGAGTAAAAGACTAGTATGGCAAAGTCTAGTACATAAAACCATATTAGGTACTAAAATTCTAAAAACACCTAATTAAACCTAAAAGCCTGAAGTCCATGTCACCAGCTCATGGACAAGGATCAAAGATGAGCGTTGAAAGTCACTAGATCCCAAGAATAAAACCATAATAGGTCTACTAAAATTCTAAAAACACCTAATTAAACCTAAAAGCCTGAAGTCCATGTCACCAGCTCATGGACAAGGATCAAAGATGAGCGTTGAAAGTCACTAGATCCCAAGAATAAAACCATAATAGGTCTACTAAAATTCTAAAAACACCTAATTAAACCTAAAAGCCTGAAGTCCATGTCTTTGTTTTCTATTCAGCATGCTGAGAATAGTTCACTTATTAAATGGTTAATTAGCTAATTGGATATCATGAGCTGATAAAAACAGGAAACAGAAATGCAGTGTTATCCCATCGATGTATTATGATTAGCCAAGGCTCAAGAGCCTTAATTCAACTCAGAAAATTTTCAACTGCACTACATTTACAATATATACTCATGCATCATGTTACCTTAGATTCATTGATCCATATATTTCTGTTTCATCCAGAAATTATGATCCCATATTTACTCCATCCAAACCCAGATCTACCCGTCCATATATCCACATATTACCCAAAAAATTGCCTATATAAGGTAAGATCAAAATCCATCCTCTACTTTTCCAATTTCCATACCCATTTGAAAATTAGGCTTAAACATCCGAGTATAAGTTGCAAGTCACAAGGTGTCCTGCCCAGGTTGCCCTTCTGTAACAAGGATGGAATTGCAATGCATAATTGCTTAGGTAATACACAATTAAAGATTAGTAATTTTGTAGCTTCAACAAAATTGACAAAAAAAAAAAGAATACCTTTCATTTCTCATGAATATAGTTACCAACTTTCAAAGCCCTGCTTTTGCCAATTGAGCTGTTTCATGTATTCTCTAAGCAGACAAATGATAAGTGAAATGTATGTACGAGAGGAACAAATACAAAACCTATTTTAAAGCATCAGTTTGACATTAAGATAGATTGGTAGTCCGTGCTGTTAGTATTTTTAATTTTTTTGAGTATTAAAGGTTGGATTTAGGTAATACGAGTTAGCGTCTCCTCTATGATCTAAAACATTGGTTTTATTCTCATGGAACTGACGATGACTATAGACGCTTCAAATATAAAATTTAGTAAGAAGAAAAGGGGTCTAGTAGAAACAGATGGATTCAAGGTGAACAAATTGGCAATCTCAATAATAACAGTAAGGAGGAAAACAGGAAGAGTTCTACTTGGTAAACATAATGAGATAGACGGGCGGAGATTACATGTCGAGCTCCTTGAGGCTGTAAGCACAACGAACGATGCGGGCAGTGGATTCATCATCCATCTTCCAACCAGCAAAGCTAAGGCGTTCTCTACGGGCGAGGGATTGCTTAACCCCTTGTCTCCATCTCCTGCAGACGCTACTGGCCCTGTACTTTTCCAAGAAGAAAGAAGAAAAAGATTGAAGAGAAGCAGCAAGGAAAAAGGCACGAAATTATGATATTTGAAGTATGAATTCTGGAAATAAAACTTACTGGGCCAAATCAGTGAAGGAAGAGATGAGAACAAAGATATGAGCGAGAAGGTCCACAGGTAGGCGGTCGATCTCTGCATCTTCACGCTCCCTCATGCCTTCTTTTCTCTACCTCTCTCTCTGTACCAGTAGAAACAGGAGGAAGTAATATAAGAGATACGACGGCGAGAGAGAGAGAGAGAGAGAGAGTTGGATTGCTTCTCGGCTCTCACCTAAGCTGATGCTGATAGGTGGAGAGGAGGGCGAAGGAATCAAAGAAATAGAAGGCAGAAAGGTCGAGCGGGAGAGACAGTAATCAAAAGCCAGAAGGGGGAAACTCGCGGGGAGGAGGATGTTGTCATCATCGTGTCATTGTTTCACGAAAGTCGAACCTTTCACCCTTGCTTGAATTCGTACATAGAGAAGAAAAAGAAAATTTCTGGGTCTTCGTGTGGCGCTTCCTAGGTAGACAGCGGAGGCTGTCCTCCTTGATTAAATTAAAATGAGTGGATTGGAATTTTCTGAGGTTTTTGTTCGGAGAACTGATCCAATACATTGCAATCATGGGTTCAATAAAAGTTGTAACCATATCATGTGGTCATTTATCAAAATTCACCGGTTTACATTGGCGTCAAGGTCCTTGCAATATCATGTCTTACCGAGTTACCGGCAGCGTAGATTTTTGGTTGTAGTAAATTTAATTTTATATACCAACTTTTTTTCCAATAAGCATTCATGATTATAAAAAACGGTCAATCCGTAAGTTTCGTCCTAAAGAAGGTAGCCTTATCTGTCCACATAAGGCGGAGGACGCCACTCCGACCCGAAGAGGCGAAGAGTTTTCGTCTCTGAAAAAAATAAATAAATGCTGTTATGCGTTACCTCAGTTATTTCCTTAATTTCTCTCTTTAATTAAAATTTAAAAGAATATTAAATGTAATTATTCTTATCACGCACGCGTAAAAACTAAAAAAACAAAAACAAAAAGAACAGCTAAACCTTCCCCTCTTGTTTTTCCTTTTATATCCCGTTCATTCATGTGGATCACGTATTTTATTACTGGCGAGGAAATCGGATTTGATAACGAAATCGTCTTTACGCTGTTCTAACAGTCCCTTGCTTGCAGCCGAGGATTGAATCAGAGCTCACCGGCGAGGGGCATTGCAAAACCATTGAATTCAGCTAATCCCAATTATCCTGAAACAACGGTATGGGTGCTGGCTGTCAAACGTGGACAATCAATTTTTTTTTTTTTGCTTTCGCTACCCAGCGGTCATTATGTTGTTAAGATTACAAGCCATCAACGGTCATTTTGTGGTTTTTTTTTATATTTTTTATTTTAAATCGACATTCGATGAGTTTGGAGACAAAATTGTAGACACGGGACTGGGCTAGCACGAGGAATACTCCAGTATTCAGTACAGATGGGCGCAGCCCGGTGTGCATGACTTTTTTTTGCTCCCGACCAATCCGGGCTCATACATGGGATATTTCCAATGAATTGGAATCTAATCACTTCCTTTCCAACACTCTGTCATCTTTTAACACGATCCCTATGCATTTCAAAAAATCGGATTTGGTCCTCACAGGTGCAGCTTAGCATATGAAAATAATATGCATACCAATGGACACCTCGGCCCAACCTACCTTTATGACTCCTTCTCAGTACTCACACAGCGGCAAGTTAGCTATTCTCTTTTTCTTTGTTTTCTTGCAATGATCTGTAATTCAGAAACAATCATGAGGTAAGAACACTGTGTACAAGCTACTGGCAGGTTGTTACAACAACCCAGCCTATAAATACTGCTCGATCTAATATTACAGGCGTGAACGACATTAGTAATTTCCTATTTTCTCTATCTTGGCGGTCGCGATACCAGAAAAAAATACACAAGTAGGGAGATATTCTCAATAATGGCTTTAAAAGGTTATGCGAATTGTGTGAGTATGGTTCTGTGAACACTAAAGCCGATTTCTGCATTTAAATGGGTCTTTTCTACTAACAGAATGTTTGGCACCGATGTGTTTTACAAGCCTTCCATTTTTTTCACCATGTGTCATTAATGCCATATCAATAAATTAATGGAAATCGCATTTTGGTAGTCCATTTTCAAAAAAAAAAACAACACTTTTGCATTGATTAGCTTTGAGATTCGAGGTAGGGTTTCTTGTTGCTAAGGTGATGTAGCATATTGACATCTTATACAATTGTCATTATAAATATTTTAACTCATATCACTTTAAACGCCCATCAACCTTATATGCCTATAATAGGTTGGTAGTAGTGCTCCAATTTCAGTGGTGATAATTTTTTTCCTTAAATTTTTGTTAAGCTAAAATACTTCGTGAAGATAAAAGACCAATTATAATAAGGAAAACATCAAGGGAGGGGATTCCTTACAAGCAAAAAAATAGTGGCATATTACGAAAGTACAGGAATCCAGCCATACAATTGGAGCATCTCCTTGTGAATTTAACATGCAACGCGAGAGATGTTCCAAATATTGGCATATTGCGAAAGCATGGGAATTCAGCCACACAATTAGAGCATCTTCGTGTGAATTTAACATGTATGCATGAGAGATGTTCCAAATGCATTCCATATGAGTAGAGTCGTTGCTTGCAATCCAGGCTCATATCAACAACAATGAGTGAGTTGGGAAAAGAAAAGGCTAAATCAAGGTTCTAAATATCGATATGCTCAATATGCCGATAGGGGCATATCGGGCAGAACCGGTCCTTTTTTTTGCTTTTTTTTCTTTTTTTTTTTCAAAATTGGTTCAAGGGGCTGGTTTAAGGCTCCTCCATCCTGTGAACCGGTCAAAACCCCGATACACCCTCTGTAGGGGGCATATCGAGGTGCTCCCGATACGATACGTATTGCCCCCCTGAATCGGCCAAAACCCCGATACACCCTTTGTAGGGGTGTATTGGGGTGCTCCCGATGCGATACGTATTGGCCCCCTGAACCAATCAGAACCCCGATACACCCTTTGTAGGGGCGTATCAAGATGCTCTCGATATGATATGTATTGATCGATACGAACCGATATGTATCGATATTTTGAACATTGGGCTAAATAAGGAAGTTTGGGCCAAAAGACAACTAAGACGAAGAAAGGTAGTCAGATTTGGCCAAACAATTGATTTTGTCTTTTCCCAAGAATGTCAAGGAGCCAAACATGATGTTGGCCCTCCAAAGAAATTTTAATCCTTTTGTTTAGTTAAAGTCTCATTCTTGTTCATTTAAGAATAGGTAATATGAGCAAAGACATTTAAGAATGAACAAATACATTTAAGAATAGGTAATATGAGCTTTTTTTCAATAGGAAAAAAAGAATTATTTTTGTGGCAATAATGAGAATAAATTTTGAATGCATTGCAATTTTCATTTGTAGTCATTTTTTGAACAACCGAAATAATAATATAGGTATACGTACAATACTCATTAGCAAATATATAGTGGAAACATACAAGACCCATACCGACAAAACACAAATCAATCATATGGGCCCCACGTAAGAACACAAAATATAAAAAAGAAAAAAAAATGACAAGAAACTAGAAAATCTTTTACATTTGGTTGCATAGAGAATATAAAAAAATAAAAGAAACAATTGGTACATATTTAAAACTAATTAAAAGGAAATTAGTTTGCTAAATTGACTAGGCAGTTGTGCAAATGAAAAAAAAAAAAGAGTTTAAACTTCCAAATAGAAATGAAAATTAAAAATAAAATTATAACATTAAGATATAAAAATTATAAAATTAAAAATAAAATTATAACATGAAGATATACAAAATGTTAACAATTTTGACAAATTGATAATAGTTTATTTGATGAAGCCAACATATTTAGAGAGTTGCAAAATATAGTAAAACATAATATAATTGTGCCCCATATTTCTAAATTTAAATATTCAAAGAAGCTTTGTATTGGCATTCTGTCAACCGATAAAGCTCTATGTAGATGGTTTTTGGGATCTATGCTGGTGGGTGCCTTCTTTATGAAAGCGCTTCATTGAAAACCATCGGACTTGGTTCAATATAGAAGGGTCGACAGGGACAAGGGTAGAAAATGAAGGACTATTATGAACAAGAACAGGAAGACCTGGAGGTGCTTGCAATGCCTTCTTTGCAACTCCATGATCTACTACATTTGTTGCTCTCACACGGTGACTAAATCTAATTTCCTCAAATCGTTGAGTCAAAGGTATAATGTCCCTTAGGATGTTAGCATGTGCAAACACTGGAAGAGCCTCTGACTAATGAATTTCGTGGACCACATTCAAAGCATCCAATTCCACTATAATGTTTTGGATTCCCAAATGAGAAGCTAAGTGAAGACCCATCCTTACTACTAGAATTTCTACAACATGGGCTAATAGGTTTCAGGATTGAGATCCAATGACACCCTTGGAATAAGGAAACACTTCACCAGTATTCAGTTTAAACCACCCTTGTGGGGGTGGTTGCCACCTTTGGGAAGGTTTATTGGGTGAGACAATGGTTGGAGGGTGGGGGGACTTGATCCCACCAGAAGAGGTCCTTCTGAATTGTGCATAGGATTTGTATAGGGGATTATATCTCGACAGAAAAGAGGTATTTGTTTCTAGCTGTCCAAATGTTCCAACATATAATTTCAACCAACCTCTAGGCTTGCTTGTGGGCTTCAACTTCTTCTTCCCAAATCCATTGTAATAATGAAGCTCAGATGGAGTCCCTCTTGTTGGGTTTTGCACTCAAGGGTGATCCGAACCACACTGCCCTACTAAAGTCATAGTGGTTGAACATGTGATCAATGATCTAAGCATTTGCTTCAAACTGGGACATAAGTCCTTTGCTATAATTTCCCTTCTCCCTAATTCTGATTTTAATGGCAAAACTCCATGACTGTCCTTCTAGAGGAAGTTTTTAATTTTTGGTGGGATGTTTAGACTCCAAAAACCTTTCTAATACAACTTGGGCAGTTGTGGCATTTGGCTTGGACTCTGATTGTCCTCTTTCAACATCTCCTTAGCTAATATAATAAGCTCATTTCGCTATACATTCTCCTGATTTATGAAAATGACAACTTACAATGTCATCTTGGTTCCTCAACCAATAGGAATGCTTTGAATGACTTTTGCTTCTTAGGGATTAAACCACTGCCTAATGATTTCTCTGTTCCATCTCCTGGGGGACTGTGTTAGCAGATCTTGAACCCTAGATAGGGGGTAGTTCCCTCTATCTTGATCAGAAATTTGAGTATTTCTTAGACTCGAAAGCCATCTATCCTCCCAAATTTTTACAAAGCTCCCATCACATGTTTGCCAAATGTAACCCCTTTTGAGCACTTCCCTTCCCCATAAAATACCGAACCAAGCCCAGAATGCTCTACTTCCTGTTGTAGCCTTCCAAAAAGAGGATTATAAGAAGTATTTCCCTT